AAATGTAACTACAGTGAGAAGGCCTGGGAGGGTTGGGTGGGGAGGGGGTAAGAGATCAACCGAAGGACTTGTATGCATGCATAAAAGCATAACCAATGGACATGAGACACTGGGGGGTTGGGGAGGCCAGGGGATTGTCAAGGGCAGGGAAAAAGAAAAAGGACACATATGTAACACCCTTTGTAATACTTTAAGCAATAAAATAAATTTTAAAAAAATAGATACAGAGGCAGAGCTGCCTCAAACAGACTGTCAAACTGCAGCGGGAAGGCTGGGGAGAGTAGGGGGGCAGAATCAGAGGGTAAGAGATCAAGGACTTATATGCATGCATATAAGCATAACCAATGGACACAAGACACGGGGGGAGGGGGGGATAGGGCAGGCCAGGAGATTGTCAAGGGCGGGGGGAAAAAGGAGACATATGTAATACCCTTTGTAATACTTTAAGCAATAAAACAATAAAAAAATCAATATATTTAAAAAAAGAAAAAAAGATATTAAGGCAGCAATTTAAGAGCATTATTACTACTATCAAGAATGAGCTATTGTCTACTCTAACTCGCTTGAGAAATATGACACAGTCCCATCAGTAATGGTGAGTCACTACAGCAGGGATTCTTTCACGGGAGGTGGACATAGAACAATATACAAAAAGGCTTGTGTGAAAGCCTCAGGAATTCTGCCAATAACCTCCTTTCCCCTGAAACCTCTGGACATCCTTCTACCATGCTGTGAATCAATGTTAGAAAACATTGCCTGAAAAAAAGTAGTTTCATGTTAATAACTCACTGACTAACTAGTGGGCAAAGGTGACACAAACCCAAGAAATAAAACACTCTAAAAGATTAATAAATATCACAAATAATAGCAGTAAACAAAAGATAAGGGTTTTAGAAGTGAAAAGAATTGACACTAAGATACAGTAAAGAACTGTCAATAACAACAACAAAAAGATACTCTAAAGCCCTAGCTGGTTTGGCTCACTGAATAGAGCGTCGGTCTGGGGACTGAAGAGTCCCAGGTTCAATTCCGGTCAAGGGCACGTACCTTGGTTGCAGGCACATCCCCAGTAGGGGGTGTGCAGGAGGCAGCTGATCGATGCTTCTCTCTCATCGATGTTACTAACTCTCTATCCCTCTCCCTTCCTCTCTGTAAAAAATCAATAAAATATATTTTTAAAAAAAGATACTCTAAAGAAATCATTTAAATAATGTAATCTTTTAATCTGAGTAAGAAAATGAAGGGCATCCATATTTTTGGTATCAATTCAGAAGTATAAAGTATATATACATGAATAATATTAAGGAAATAGTAAATTTTCAGATATATAATTTAACCTGATTAGGATCTTTTTTTGTGTTTGGTTTTTTTTTCAACAAAAGTCTACCTTTTTGGAAAGGTAGATACTCTGTGATCTTAGGGAGAGTGCTCCCCATCATAAATATATCTATATGGAAGAACCCCTATGAGTTATGTATAAATTGACATGAATGCAACTGAGAAAAACCAGTTGTAAGTAGTGATGATACTATAAAGAGAGTAATGATTTCTTATCTTAAGATCCTACATTATATGGCTGACCTTAACTAAGCCTGTTGTTAGATATTTTATATATATATATGAAATTATATAGAGGAAAAAGCTCAAATACAATATTCAGGAACACTTTAATACATATTAAACAGAAAAAGAAGCACATTTTAAAATTATCAATGTTTTTAAAGATACCCCAATAAATGTATTAATTAATATTCATCCCTTGCTTAGGGAACTGAACAATATCTATAACTATAGTTCCCATTGCCAAGAGTTGCCATATCCAATATGCATAAATTTTATTATACAATGTCTACTAAAAATCAGCAAAAAAGTAAAACATGTCTCTACTAAAGCTATTACTCTCAATATTATAGTGTTAAATTGATTACTGTTATCTTCAGGGATGTTAGCAAATTTTCAGTTGCTCTTGATACCATTTTATTCCCAAGGTTTGCTGTGTAACTGTGGGTTTGTTTTTAATATTTACCTAAAACAGGGGAATGACTTTACGTAAAAGAAATCCTGCTTCTTTTAGAACCACTAAAGGGACAAAAACAACTAGTTAAGTTAACTGTTAAGATAAGCAAAACATGTACGGGTTGGTTTTGCTCAATGGTTAGAGCATCAGACTTCGAACCTAAGGGTTGTGGTCAAGGGTATGTACCTGGGTTACAGATTCGATCCCAGCCCTCTGCCCAGCCCTGTGTCTCCCTTCCTTCTAGTCTCTCTAAAAAAAATCAATGGAAAAAATATCCTTCGGTGAAGATCAAAATAAATACAATTTTAAAAAGCAGAGAAACACTGATTATTACACATTTTCAAGATGAAAATTTTACCATGCAGATTATTTAAAACAACAAAGTTTTACCTCTACACAGGTTTTCATCCCTGAGGCAGCAGCATAGTGCAGGGGTGTGTTTTTTTTGTTATCTACAGCATCAATAGCTGCTCTCTCATATTCCCCTTGGTCAAGTTTTGCTCCTTTCCATCTTAAGATCATCTGCAGACAATCTGCTCTTCTAAAATCATCTTCCATGGGGCGTGCTAAACGAGGATGAAGGGCTCCTTCAGATATCATAATTTGAGGTCCCATACACAACAAATGCATAGATGTTTCATTGTGCACATTCCGTTTATTTGGATTTCCATCTCTACCAAAAAGAAAAGTCCTAAAGTAGTAAAGGAAAAGAAGGACAAAAATCAATTATTTCTTACTTTGAAATAAGAACAATAGAAGATAACAAATTTAAAAGATAATTATGAATATGCACATTTGATACTATACCAAAAATTCAACAAGTTGTCATTTATTGCTAATCAAACCTAAAGATTACTTTTCAGACTCTGAAATATGAAAGAACCTTCTTCACTGCTACATTAAAATCCAATGATCTACCTTGCATTATGAATAATCTTTTACCCATGCATAATTTTAAAAAGTCATATACATACTGATCTTCTGAAAAGTACTGATTCACCAAGTTATGCAGATTTTCTAGATGTTGTCACATTTCATTTCAAATATTTTCTTAAAATCCTATTAGTTTATACCACCATAAATCTTACTATAATCCTGGTCATAAGAATATTTCCTTGTGCAATAATTTTTTAAAAATATATTTTTATTCATTTCAGAGAGAAAGAAAGTGGGAAAGAGACAGAAACTACAATGATAAGAGAGAATCACTGATCTGCTGCCTCCTGCATGCCCCATACTGGGGATTGGCCCCTAACCTGGGCATGTGCCCTGACCGGGAATCAAACTGTAACCTCCTGTTTCATAGGTTGATGCTCACCCTCTGAGCTAGCAGGCAGGGCCCTTGTGCAATGATTTTATAAAATTTATTTTTACTTTGTGTAAGATATTATGCTAGATGCTAGAAGTACAAAAAAGACACTTTTATCACAAAGTTGCAATTTAGGTAGGCAGAGAGAAGATACAATGAGATAGTGTATGCCAAACAAGTAATAAAAACAAAAAAGAGCCGTATAAGTTAAAAAAAAAAGAAAGACTGAGGTTCTTGTGAGCTGTGACAGGCTAAGAAGATAAAGCCTTCCCAGGACCTTGAAGGAAGGGTAAGATTTAGCAAAGAAAGAGAAAGCTGAGTGGAGTGGGGAAGGGGATTCTGGGGCAAAGAGAGCAGCATGGACATGGTAGACAGAACACACATGGCATGTTTCAGGTATATAAAAAAGAACAGCTTGCCCTAACCGGTTTGGATCAGTGGATAGAGCGTCAGCCTACAGACTAAAGGGTCCCAGGTTCGATTCTGGTCAAGGGCATGTACCTTGGTTGCGGGCACATCCCCAGTAGGGGGTGTGCAGGAGGCAGCTGATCGATGTTTCTCTCTCATCAATGTTTCTAACTCTCTATCCCTCTCCTTTCCTCTCTGTAAAAAAATCAATAAAATATATATATATAAAAAAAGAACAGCATAATTTGAACAACAATTTGTATAAAATGAAATTTAAAAAGCTTGAAAGTTTTTAAGTTCCAAAAAGCTTTGAATACATGTTTAAGAATTATATTTCACTGTGTAAGCAAAGAAGTATTTCTTTCTTTCTGTTCTAGCATCAGACTCCCATAGCTGCATAATCTACTTCTAAAAAAACTAAATTTGTTTTGGAGCTACTTTTCTATCCTTTGCTTCTTTCATGTTATAAGCTAGTAAATATCAAATTTAACTCCCTTGTAATTAGGTAAGAATCTTTGAATAAATATACTCCCTGTTACTAATACTTGAAAAGCTTTAAGTTTGTTAGTATTTTAAATTTTAAGGAAATGTTTCACTTTTAGAAAAGTCTTCCTAAGTAACTAAACCCCATTAAAAGAAAGGAAACTCAAATCTGATCATAACTAGATAAGGTGAAAGTATCTGTTTTTCAACTTCAACTAGTGAATCAGAGCTTAAGAACTCTGCTATAGGCCCAGTCCCTGCAATTTGTTGATAAGTACTTTTTTAGAATCAAAATCATTGTAGCAACAAAAATATGTGAACCAACCTCACTATTAAAACTTTTGGTCTAATTTAGACTTAATTTTAAAAAGTCATACTTAATAATTTAAGCATATTCAATTTTAGAAATTTCAATTCACTACAATACCATATAACATCCACATCTGTATGTATATATTTTCAAAGATCAGGGTTTTCCCCCTCTTTCACTAATATGTTTTTCTCCCTTGACTAATTTATTATCAACGTGTTTATAGTAATACTTACCCTAATATTCTGTTCATTCCATGTCTAGCAGCATAGTGTAATGGAGTATTGTGCTGGTAGGGTTCCCCATAAGATGTATTAGGATCAAGGGATTCTTTTAGCTGAGGGTTGTTTTCATATATTTGGCAGGCCAGGTTTTCATCACCATTGATGAGTGCTTTACGAAATTTGGTGGTTGTATTTCCCATGTTTTGTTTTGTTGTTTTTTTCTGACAGGCAGTGGCACTTTTTTCCTCCCCCTTCAGCCACTTCTTGAATGCTTCTGCAACATGTTTCACATTCTAATAGAGAAAAAAACGATCAAATGAGACTGGGAAACAATAATTATGAAGCAGTATCCTAAAGAAACCATCACAATTAAGAACACTAAGAAAATCTAGAAAGAGGATGTAAAGTGACAACTTATACTAGTATTACATTTATCTTACTTGCCAAAAAAGTCTCAAATTTTTAACACTGTCCAAATTAACTTCTTGTTAAACTGTAACATTTTCCAGTACAGAGACTGCTAAGGTTTCACAGGCTGTACTTTGTACTATTAAAGTTATCTACATACAGTAGCTTTTCAATGTTCCTCTTTACATGAGCAGGAAATGCATTTAACTGAATTTTATGGGTGAATGTATTTAAATTTCTTTATAAACTATGTATAAATCTGACTCTACCAACTTGTGGGATAGTGAAAAATGTAGATTTTTATTTTTGCTCATATAAGAACGACAGAATAGATGTTAAATTGAAACTGCTCAGTACTTATAAGGACATCAGAGAAAAGGTTACAAATGTAAACATATAGGACCATACAACTCAAGTGATTAATGAGATAGTCACAGTGAAGTATTAAAACTGACTATACACAAAACAATGGAAACAGTTTATTCTACCTTAAGACCATTACAGTTATTTATTTCTACTATGAAGAATTTAAAACAAACTGAAAACATCAAATACTTGCACATACTATGTTTAGAAAGAGGCTAAGATAATAATCATATGGGCATTAACTACTGAAACATTGTGACGTGGGCAGAGGAAGAAGGACAGGAAACAATCACTGGATTTGGAGCTCAAAATCTCTTACCTACTTATACTAGCTGTGCAATTTTGAGCTATTTACCCTCTAAAAGCCTTGGGTTCCTAACTGCACAGTAAAAGAAAATGACTATTCCTTTAAAAAAATATTTTGATTGATTTCAGAGAGGAAGGGAGGGAGGAAGAGAGATAGAAATATCAATGATGAGAGAGAATCATTGGTCGGCTGCTTCCTGCACACCCCACATTGGGGATGGAGCCCACAACCTGGGTATGGGCCCTGATTGGGAATCAAACCATAACATCCTTGTTTATAAGTTGACGCTAAACCACTAAGCCACACTGGCAGGGCAGAAAATGACTATTTCTTAACGATGGCTGTGAGGATTATAAGTACTTTATTTAAAGTACCTACCACAGTCCTTGACTAGTGTATTCAATAAATGCTAGCTTCCTTCCATTCCAAGAAATGATTCTGAATCTACTCTTGAACTATGATCAAAATAAGTGATAAAGGAAACAGCATATGCAAAGGCTGGTATAAAACAAAAGGCTTATTCCGTACGAATGAAGTTCAAGTTCTCTAGTGTTGAACTACCAGGAAATAAAACAAAATACTAGGTTGGATCCAGACTGAGAAACTTTTACTTTAACCTGTAAAGAACAGATAATTAAAGGCTTTATGAAGGGCAGTGATATAATTATTTTATGCTTTGGAAAATTAGTTATTGTGACATTGTAGAAGATAGACTAGAGGAGAAAAACTTAGAAGGAGAATACAAGAATCCATCATGTCACTAAGTTAACTCAGTGGCAGGCTGGACATTAAAACATAGCATTAAGAAAAGTTGAAAATAATACGTACTTTTTCAACATAAGATTTGTAGAGGCAGTAACAGTTTTAACAGAATACAAATTAAAGGAGTAAAAAACAAATTAGTGGTTTTTTTTTAATGTTTTGGCTTTTAGAGAGGAAGGGAGAGGGATAGAGAGATAGAAACATGGATGAGAGAAGAACAACACCTATCGGCTACCTCCTGAAAACGCTTTACTGGGAATTGAGCCTACAACCCAGGCATGTGCCCTGACTGGGAATTGAACCAGTGACCTCTTGGTTGCTGGGTCGGTTTATTTTTCTTTTTAGTTTTCTGTATAACAGAGGCTCTCAACTTTGGCTATACATTTAATAACATGGGGAACTTCATTGGCCAAGCTACATCCCAGATAAATAAAATCATAGTCTCTAGTGGGAGGCACCCAGGCCTTGGAATTTAAGCTCCTGAGGCGAGTTCAATGTGCACACACCACTGTATAAAAAGCTCCTGAATACCTCTAGCTAAATGTTATATCTGATATGGAGATCAAGGTGAGCAGGCAGGATAAGACATCTGTTAAACTTATTTTAGAGATAGGTATTAACTACCTACTTACTATAGCAATACACTTTCTGGCACACAACTATACTTAAGGAGGTCATCATTTGGCTCTTTTAAAGGTTGTTACTGACTTTTTACTCTAAATATGCAAATACATATACGTAGAATGTTTTGAAAATATGAAAAAAGACAAAAACTCATTGTCTATTTACTGCAAGATAACCACTATTAGTATTTTGATAAATAACTGCCTTATTTATAATGTATATAAATACGTGTTTGTATGCATATGTACTATTTATATATACTACTATATATATACTAGAAGCCCGGTGCACGAAATTCGTGCAAGAGTAGGCCTTCACAGCTGTGGCAGCTGCCTGGATTCCTCCCTTGCAGCAATAGTGGCTGCCTGGATCCCTTGAAGCTGGGGCAGCTTCCTCGATCCCGTGGCTGCAGCCCCAGCTTCGTCCAGAAGGTCGTCCGGAAGGACATCCGGTCTAATTAGCATATTACACTTTTAGTATTATAGATATACTATAAATACTTATATACATATTGGATCATGCTACATAATTTTAAACAATTTATTTAACTTTCTAGAGAGTTGTTAAACCTTTATCATAAAGTCCTTTATCATCTCATCTTGAATGAGGAGCAAACTCCCCCTCCCACAATCTATCAAAATATACTATAGCCACTTTGGGGATTTTTTAGCAACAGCCTGGATTTTATTTTTCTTTTGTTCTTTCATAGAATCTAGGAACCGTATGTTTATCCTTAGTGAACTAATTTGTTTTGTTGTACTGCTTTAAGCACTTTAAGAGTTTATTATTCTTAATGAAAACTCCATTCAGTTCATTGTATATTTTTATTTATAAAAAAATATAAAGAATATCATATGGGAAAAAAATCATATGGGTTCTAAAAGGTCTTTCCTAAGGATTTGGAAACTTTCAGTTGTCTAGCCTTATCTTTCTTCCCTGACAGACTATAGCTCAAATTATGAACATTTCAGAGTTTTCGATTAGACTAATAAATAACATTTTCATTGAATTACATTATTACTTTAGAGAAATATCCTATATGAAAATAATTTCTATCCAACACGTGAAAAAAGTAAGAAAGCAATTATATCATCATGGGAGTACTTATTTAAAACAACCAAGATACTTTTAAAAAAATCAATAATACTCTAAATGTGCATTTAAATATTACTGTTACTCATGTTGAAAGCATAATGGTATCTGGAAATCTTTTTGTAGTTCTCAGTTATTTTCAAGTATGTTTCATTTTTAAATATGAGTTCAATAAGCCTGAAAGTCACCAGGAAATGCATCATTTAAAGCAGCCATAACTCTATTCTCAGATTTATTTTCACAAGTCTTGCCAGATTTGTCCTTTTACTTTTTCACAGCTATAGCAGCATAACCTGAAGTGACTGTTCCCCCTTTATTTTTGAAATCACTTAAGTACTATTTCTCCAACTCTAAGATCAATCTTTATAGAGAGCTTCAAGATACAAGTGATGGATTATCAAATAATTTCTTAATTTGGGCTTTTAAGTTATACAGGAAAATCCAGGTGAAGCTTCATCACTGACTAGTAAAGCACAGCACTTAATAAGTATTTAATGAAAAAAGTAAGAAAAATACACCGCCAATGATCACCAGATAGCTTTCCCTAATTTTTCATTACCTTTTAAATGTGAAGGGCTCTATAACTCTTGCTTTAAACCTTTGTCTCTCAACTTGCCCATTCATAGGTTAATAATCAGTGCAACAACTCAAGTGCACTTAAATTAATAAACTATCGCCAGAAACCTTTTACAGAAGATGAAATACTTCAGATATAAGTAACACCTAATTTATCTGTTTCTACAAAAGTAAATTATCTTAAAGTCATAATTATGGATTGAAATTGTTGACCTAAACAAAATAAGTGACTCCTATTTTTCACTTAACTGGAAGAAGACCCATTATTACACATGCGTACGTACACACATCATCCTGCAACTTTCTGCAGTTAAGAACAACTCAACAATTGATAACAATAATTTCAAACAACAACTAAACATTCCTTTAGCCAGAACAGAAGCAAGTAGAAAGTTCACTCAAATAGTATGCCCAATCCCACCCTCCTCTTGAAATCAGAAAGATGTGTCTCAAAGAAGAAAATTCCAAAAAGCTCTACGTCCAAAGAAATGCTCTAATTATTATTACAATAATACTGAGTAAAAAGGAGAGGATGGTTTTAAAAAGACTCTGAAAGAATTATCAAGGTATAAGGTAAAAAAAAATAAATAAGGAAGAAAGTCATGAAAAGTCAATATACTACAACAGACAGAAACCAGGTGGGCAAATAATATATTAAGCTATCAACTCTGTTCATTCACTTATTCAATAACATGTAGTAATTTTTATTACCATGCACTAGAATCATGGGGTGGGGAGGGTGATTTCAACTGGTCTAGAAAGGACAAGGCCAGAGCGAAAAGTTTAAAATATATACAGTTTACTATTAAGGACCATAGATTGGTTTTGAAACTGTGCTAAGCCTAATGTATTAGCAAGAACTGTGACCACAAGGAAAAGGGGGTAATAGTCAGAAAGTGCTGTGTTCAAATTCTGTTTCTATTTTACCAAGTAACTTAATCACTTTCAGTTGTTTCTTCACCTATACACCCAAAGTATTAATATTTATTTTCTTCAGTTAACAAATATAAGTGAACAAACAAATAGAAACCAATGCATCTATAGAGTTTATATTGCAGTGGGATTATAAAGATGAACATTGTAAGGTTTTTATTTTATTTTGTTTGTGATAGGGAGCCATTACAGGTTTTGAGCTAGATCTTTTTCAGGCTTTAGCATTTTAAAATACATTTAAGATTTATCTGTGTTGA